GCAGAGGAAGAGGGACAAGCAGACTCCATGCTGAGCACAGAGCCCGACGCGGGGCTCGATCTCACCACCCTGAGATCATGACCTGAGCTGAAATCAAGAGTCGAACACCTAACCAACTGAGCCACCCAGGTGCCCCCCAGCTCCTCCTCTTTAAAGAGCTTCCTCTTGAAGTACAACAGAAACCCCACACGCCACACAGGGAAAGGAAGACAGGGGGCACCCTGTGTGTATCTCACAAGAGGTGCACATGCCTTGGTTTCTCCAGGAATGCCAACTGATGCCAGGGGAAGGATGAGGATGTGCCCAGATGGACAGAACCCTGGAGTCTGAGGATAAGGAGGCAAACCTCCATCTACTGTTTCGTAATGCTTCCCCCGGACTGGCAAGGTCTGAATTTATTGTTACTCTTCCTTCACCTGAAAAAACCTACGTATCCTACAAGCCAGTCAACGCCTGAGCGTCCGAGGTGCCCTCCCCAGTTCTGTCAGCCTGACCTCGGGCCCTCTTCTTCCTCCGTATCTTCCTGTGGTGAAGGCATCACTGCACAGTGTAATTTGTAAGACAGGAATAGTTCTGCCAACCTCCTAAGACTGTAGGAAGAGTGAGAGGACATAAAGCATAAGAGTAAGTCACAACAGATGGTAGCTGTTCTTACGACTGCTATTTATTTGTATTCCGGGTCTGTGGTCCTCAAGACCAAAGCCATGCCATCCTCCATAACTGGACTCCTACTTCAAAGCCTGTGACCGGCTGGCAGGTACACGATAAAGATTGAATATATAAATGAATGGATGTATGAAGAATAAGGTGCGGAACTCCCCTGTTTACTGCTAAGTTGTTGTTTTTTGTTTGTTTATTTTTTAAGTAGGCTCCACACCCAGTGTGGGGCTCGAACGCACAACCCTGAGATCTGGAGCCACGTGGTCTGCGGACTGAGCCAGCCAGATGCCCTTCTTACTGTTAAGTTCTAACCTATCAATAACAGAGACCCATACGCTGGAACATGGATACTTTTCCTTTTTTAACGTAGAAACTGTTCATAGGGTTAAATTTGGAAAACAAGACAATGACTGTAGGTGGGCAAGGGAGGAGAGAAAAGTCTTCACCTTTCCTTCTGAGCTTTTTTCTACACTGCTTGGTTTTTTCAACCAGGACCAGGCACTGTTGTTTTTACATCCACAGGGCTTACCTAGACAGTAAATGTTAGGCATATTCTGTCTTTCTAAGCCTTTTGCTTGTGCTGGAGTTTTAAAAGAAATGCAAATACTTTCTAATATTTTTAGAAACCTCGTATTACTCTATGACCCTCAAATTATTCCCATAGAACTAATTTTAGGCCAGGAGTTGAGACCCAGCAGCTAACAGGACAAATTAGGCCAGGAACATTTTAACATTTTTTTTAAAATTCAGACTTAGTTGCCAACTTTTTTTTTTTTTTAAGATTTATTTATTTATTTTTGAGAGAGAGAGAGAGAAAGAGACAGCGTGAGTGTGGGGGAGGGACAGAGGAAGAGGGGGGCGAGAGAATCCCAAGCAGACTCTCTGCGGAGTATGGAGCCTGATGTGAGACTCTATCTCAGGACTCTGAGATCACGACGGGAGCTGAAACCAAGAGTCGGATGCTTAACTGACTACGCCATCCAGGCGCCCCTATTTTTTTTTTTTTTTTTTTTGCCAACTTCTAAAAATTCAGAAATTTCAAATGAAAACGTGGACTCGAAAAAAGAACTCTGGATTCACCACTTCACTTGAACAATGAGATGGTGTCGAAACATCAGACCACACACAGCCGAAGAGCAACTGCCCCTGTCCGCCCAGGGTCCTCACCTGCTCACTTCACTCACGGAGGTGTCTGCCTGTCCCTTCCTGGTCTATCAGTGTCAATGGCTACCATTCGAAAAACCCTTTTGATTTTCCATTAACTCATCCAAGCAAAAGATGACAGTGTCTGTCCAAGAGTGGGATATTACTTACTTATATTTGTAATCGACAATCTGAACCTCAAGTGTAGATACCGTTTTCAGTGCGTTTACCAGCTAGGGGGAAAAAAAAAACATTTAGAATGTCTTTTCCTTCCTTCTCTTCTGTTTTATTTTCCTTTCAGTCCTAAAAATTTCTTATTTTCATACATAATATTTTTCAGGTATTACCTATCATCCAGATCTACTGTTTTAACCTTTAACTGAGTTCAAATGCGGATTCCACCCCTCGGTCACATTACCTCCCTAAAATCCCACCACCTGGGCTGTCATAAAGGCTGAAAGCATCAAATTCATGGGAGTGAAGTGCTCGGCACAGAGCCCACTACCTGTTAACTGCTATTATTACTACTTGCTAGTTAATCCCTCAATTTTTCAACATAGGTTTGCTGGGCACCTACCTTGTTCCGGGCTTTATGTTAAGAGTTTTCTCCCTATGCCTTATCTCATTTCAGACAAACTACTTGTGCTTTTGGCCTTATCCTCTGAAAACATTAAATTTTGGGCAGAAAAAAATGTTCTCAATATTTCTACACAGAAAAACAATTATTCTTCTAACAAACAGAAAGTAACAAAGCACAATTAACCTAGTATCAGAAATACAGCCATGGTTCTCTGTGTCCCTCACAATTAGCCAACACTGTGGGTCACTGCTATTCAGAAATTTTTGCCCTTGTATCCTGTGGCCTGTGGCGTGCACTATACAACAAAAATGGTAACAAAAGTATCACTTCAACTGTGCTGGCAATGCTCAGTGCTTTAGGTGCTCGTCACTTAATCCTCATACAAGTCTCATACCAAGTAAACATTATTACGCCCATTTTTTTTAAAGATTTTAAATAATCTCTACACCCAATATGGGGCTTGAACCCACAACCCCAAGATCAAGAGTAACATGCTCCCCTGACTGAGCCAGCCTCAGGCACCCCCATATGCCTTTTTTTAACAGTTTATTTATTTATTTGAGAGAGGGAGAAAGCCACACGTGTGAGCAAACGGAGGAATAGAGGGGGGAGGGTGGGGGAGAGAATCTCAAGCGGACTCTGAGCTGAGAGCGGGGAGCCTTACTCAGGGCTCGATCTCATGACTCTGAAATCATGACCTGAGCTGAAACTAAGTCACTTAACCGACTGAATCACCCAGGCACCTCCCCCCCACCCCATATGCCTATTTTAAAATGATACAATGGAGGCTTAGAGATGTTTAAGGAACTTTCCCAGGATCTTGCAGTTAGCAAAGGGCAGAGCCAAAATTAAATCTACGTCCTCTGACCCCAGAATCTGTGTTTTTAGGCAGTGCCCTGGTAAAAGCAACAGGCAAGGACTTACATCCACTTCCTTCCCCTGTTACACACATACACAGTTATAGAATGGAAGTTTCTCTCTCTAGACAGCCCCTGAACTCCCCTGAATATACTGCTTATGTCAGGGAGTTGAAAGAGTGAGGATAGGTTAGAATTCCGTTTTCCAGGAGCGAATTAATCCCCGTGCATGAGCCCTGGTCTTGTAATGAGATGGGTCCACATAAAAAGAATCTCGTTTCAGAGGGTCCTCAAGCAAACAGGCTTTTTTTTTTTTTTTACAATTTCTAGTCACACCGCGGAGGTGGCCACAGCCCTCTGACATGATTATCCAGTCCCGAGGTTGGGCAGGATTGCAGGAACTGTCATTTAATGAGAGCATCTGGGGTTTTTTTTTTCCTTAAAAATTGTATTTATTCATTTGAGAGAGAGAGCACACAAGCAGGGGCAGGGGCAGACAGAGAGGGAGAAGCAGACTCCCCGCTGAGCAAGGAGCCCGACTCGGGACTCGATCCCAGGACCCTGAGATCAGGACCTGAGCCGAAAGCAGCCGCTTAACCAACTGAGCCACGCAGGCAGCCCTTTTCCTTGAGACTCCGGAGGGCCAAAGGTCTTTTGCTTTTTCTCTGTCCCCTACCAAGGGCTGAAGGAAGGGATCCATTCTATTGTTCAGAGGCACCACCTCCCTCCCCTACATCAGACTGAGAAGGAACCAGTCAGCTCTTAACTCCTCCTGGTTGTTTTTCTTTCCCACCCCAGTTTATTTTTTGTCTCTCCTCTAGCCCCTACCTCTGAAGCCATTTTATGAACTGTCAAGTGCCACCTGAGCCTCCAGTAAAAACAAAAACAGGCATCTATCTATCTATCTACCTATTCATGAATCAAGGTAGAGTCAAAGGTGCTTTCTTCTCTGCTTGGTAGCTGCCTTTTCAAGTGATGCCGATCACCAGGAGAAAAGCAGCCGGTGGGTGCTCTTTGGCTTAGAGTTCAGATCCGAACTGCCAAATCTCACCCGTGGGCAACATCGTTTGCACGATCAGTGGGACCAGATGTGAACACGTTGCTCGCTATACCGCGGCACCCACTGGCACTATCCCTTTGCGCTGGACCGCTTGCCAGGGTTTGAGGCTGCTCCTTGGCCAGCCTTTCCAGCGGACTGGCAGCCAAGGTGGGTCAGCCTCCTCACATTTATTTGTGTTGGAGCAGCAGAGTTCTCTGGTTAAGAAGAAGGCTCAGACCCTGACAACCGCGGCTTACCCCCCATTATTCTGCTCCCTGGCTGGGTGACCTTAAGCATGTTTTGTAACCTCTAAGCCTCTGTGTTCTTGTCAGGCTTCCCATCCATCTACCCCAGCCCTGCATCACTTGATACATTTTTATTCCCAGGTCTTTAACACACACACACACACACACACACACACTGCTCATTTCTTCCACCCACGGCTTCCAATCACTGTCTCATTACACCATATGTTCATGTCCTCCATAATCCATATGGATCTCAAGACACTAATTACATAATTTTGATCCGCCAGTTAGGCATCCAAATTAATCTATGTAAAACATTTTACCCATCCAAACCTGCCTCCAGTCCCCTCCTACTGAGCTTCTCCCATCTCAATTCCACTGGCCTGCTCAAGCTAAAAGCCCGGGAGTTCACCTCTGATTCTCCGTGCCTTTCCTGGGCTGACCTCATGTGTACCTGCATATACCGAAAGGAAGTCTCCTAGACTCACTCTCCGAGACTGATCTTGAATCCATTTCCTTTATCATCTCTGCTGTCATCACCTTCATCCAAACTCTTACCGGGGCCATAGTGACGGCTCTGCATGAATCCCTCTGCTCCTACTCTTGCAGCAAGAGTGGTTTACAAATAAATAAATAAGCCCGTTCATGTCTCTGCCTGTGTATTCGTTTTCGACGAGCTGCTACGACCAATTACCACAGAGTCCACACCTCACAAGAACACAACTGACCCTCCCACTGTTCTGCAGGACAGTAGTCCAACAGTGAGACAGACAGCTGTCCACAGGGCTGTGCTCCTTCTGGGGGCTCGAGGGGAGAATCCGTGCCCAGCTTCTAAAAGCCATCGCATTCCTTGGCTCGGGGCCCTTCCTCCATCTTCAAACCCAGGAACGTGGCATCTCTCTGGCCCTGCTTCTATCCTCATGTCTCCTTCCTGGATTCTGTCTTCTTCTTCCACTTTCCAGGAGGTGCTCAACAGAAATCCGGTCAGTGAGAAGAATCCAGCTAAGCGAAGAGCTTTCCAGGCAGAGGCAAAAGCTCTCTGGTGGAGACAGCTTAAGGCCCTTTGGTGATTCCATCGGGCCCTCCTGGATCATCCAGGTTGATCTCTCCATTTTCAGGCCAGCTGATGAGCAACCTTAATTTCACCTGCAAGCTTAGCATCCCTTTGCCACATAACCTAACCTAGTCATGGGTTCCAGGGATTAGGACGTGGACATCTTTTGGTGGTGGCCCATGATTCTGCCTACCACACCGTGCTGCAAACTTCACAGAGGCTTCCCTCCCACTGGAATAAAACCTGCCCATCTCCTCACCCAGGCCCATGAGGCTGATAAGATAGGGGACCTCCTCATACCCTGCCTGACTTCTCTGACCTCATCCTCACCTCTCCCACTGTGCCAGTTACGCTGGTGACCCCTCCATTCCTGGAGCACCTAAAGCTCTGAACACCACAGGCCATTTGCTTCTGCCTGGGAGGCTCTCTCCCTGGCTGGTTTCTTACTGATAAGGTCTCTGCCAACAGCACCTCTTTAAACACCTCACCTGACTGCTTCCCCCTTCCTCCTGCATCTCCTGCCCCAACACATCACCTTGTTTTACTTCCTTTGTAGCACTGCCCACTACCTGAAATCATCTTACTTAGGGACTTGTTTACTTATTTCTTGTCTGTCCCACCTTGAGAGCATAAGCTCCATGAGGATAGGGACCTTACTTGTCTTGTCCTCTCCTGTAGCTCCAGGGCCTAGAATATGGCCCAGGACACAGCAGGTGCCCAATACATTTCTGTGCAATCAATCATACTACTGTGAGAACATCTTCCAGCCATGCTGTTGTAGGCAGGTGCCTTACAGGGTGATCTTATTTAAGTACAATGTACGAGTTGATGCTATCAAAATGAATCAGAGAACCTAAGAGGTGAATAGTTTCTAAGACACACAGTCATGAAAAGAACGGAGACTCTTCCAACTTAGGTGGTGGATGCTACCGTATCACAATGCTCCATCAACCACCTCTCAAGAGATACTCTTGCATTTCTGCTGCTTGTTTGTCCAGAGGCAGAATGTTTGGCAATCTATGGCAGTAAAGGCAGGAATCAGAATTTCTGCCTCTGTTTCCCCTCTGAGTTGGGGCAGATGCATGTTTCCCGTGAGGCAAAGCTGGTTTGGGCAATGGGTGGTTTGCTGACTTCCACGAGAAGTCCAATAAATGAACCAGGCATAGCCACCAAACTTTTCTAAAAGCTAATAATTTCAAATCAAAGCATTTAATGCAATGTGAAAAAAATTAAGTGCATCAGTCACAGGAAGTTAAATTCAATACAATGATATTAAAAATGCCTACCAAACACTAACCTCATTTTGGTTTAGTATTTTCCGGTACTCTGTACTCCGTGCAAGGATGGTGACTCGGATTTTTCCGTCCTGTAATCAAAAGGAAAAGGCAAAATCATGCTCTATATGCCTGCACATATGAGTGAATGCTAGAACCTAAAATGTGATTTTCACAAAGAGATGAAACTCAATCAGGATACATTTAGGGGACGATTATGGTTTTAGCCTGATTCCTTCAGAGTTCTCGCAGGAAACAAAAATGCATCCACTTTAGCCACAGAAGACAAAACCTGTTTATTACACTTCTGTTTGGTTAGCTCCATGGAATTTTTGGCAGGGGTTTGTGGATTAGGTGGGGATTTGGGGGGAGAACCAGGTGACATGGGGAAAGACAGGGAAAAGGAAAAGGAGAAAAAAAGCACATACTTCCACTGTCCCTTAGCTTATCTGTCACAGGTTGGTGACATCTGATTTTGGATCACTTCAGGTGAAAAAGTATTAACTGAGAAAACACTGTCTTCTGATTCTTTTTCTGCAAAGGTGGCATTGATTTTTATTTCGGGTGAAAAGTCAGGCCCACGTCAGAACTCACAAGGTAATCCTTACCTTGGGTCCCTCCTGTGTGATGTTCAGTCTGTGTAGCACATGCTGGGAAAATGCCCTGAATAATCCCGTGTTTTGGCAGCCAGATATCTAACATGAAAACAATAGTTCATATTACAGTGAATAATTGTGTATTACTCTTGAAGATGTTCTCAAGCTACATATAAACATTATCTTAAAACCTATCAAGAATAGGGATGCCTGGATAGCTCAGTTGGTTAAGCGGCCAACTCTTGATTTCAGCTCAGGTCATGATCTCACAGTCCGGGGATCAAGCCCTGAGTCCAGCTCCACGTTCAACGGGAGTCTGCTTGAGAATTCTCTTTCCCTCTCCCTTTGCTCCTCCCCTCCCCCCGCACAGGTGTGCCTCTCTCTCTCTAAAATAAATAAATAAATCTTAAAAAAAAAACCTATGAAGAATAAATGTATAAATATGAATATGAATAACAGATATGCTTACCAAAGGGGTATTATAGAACAGCCCGTATCGCATCCGGGGGAGTAAGGAAAAAACAGCTTCTTTAAAACATACCTAAGAATGAAGGTATTATACAAGGTAAGAGAAAACAATTTGTACCACATCAAAATAGTACTTATAATCACAGAAAATAAATTTTAATTAATCTTTTTGCACTGAAATATTTTGAATAGCAAACTATTTCACTCAAGGGAAATTCATAATTTTGGAGAATCTAAAGGAAAAATTTTCTTAACACTACATGGTTAATAATTAAGAATGATTCAAAGTTATAAAAAAAGAAACTACAAAGTCAGAAATCAATGGCAATAGCTAATAGAAACTCATATTAAATATTTATTTGATGAGTGAGTCATCTGCAATGACTGTTATTTACAGACATTTCAGGAAAGTCTCCAGTACCCTTTTGGAATCATAAGTTTTCAAATGTATAACATCATAATCAGTAAAGGCTTTCCAGGTGTCAGAGAACAGGTCACCATATCCATAGGAGCTCTGAAAGTGGAAACAAAAGAGGTTAGGGCAACAAAAGTCTACAACGTGGCTTTTCAAAAGTGCAACAAAATATTTGAATCAGCTTGTCAATGTTAAGAACTAATGATTCTAAACAAGCTCATAAAATTCATGGAAGAAAAATGGATTTTCATCTTAGGTCTGAGCAAGGACCTAGTATGATATAATGTCATCAGAAATAATCACTCACAATTGTAATCTTAGTCTGTTAAAAACATTGTTTTTCTACCCTATCCCTTTTTAGATTCATATCTCTGAATGATAGCTGGTGTGGGTTTTTTCCCCTGTGAATCTTCTATCTAAATCACACACATACAGGGGCGCCTGGGTGGCTCAGTTGGGTGAGCGCCTGCCTTCAGTTCAGGTCATGATCCCAGAGGCCTGCATCGGGCTCCCTGCTCAGCCCCTCCCCCGCTTATGCTCCGTCTCTCAAATGAATAAATAAAATCTTAAAAAAAATCACACACATACAACATACACAGACGCCATCATTTGTACACACTTGGATATTCTCAGCGAGCAAAAATTATCAGGGTAAATGGAATACACTTTTGAAAAGAAATTTTGAAAAGAAAATGCCTTGAAAGTCCTAACACTACAATATGATGAACATTATCCTATGAAATGATCTCCCCATTGACTAAAGAGTAACATGTGATAACATCCCATTAACATTAATAATAATAATTATTATTATAGCATCTTGCATATTTCCTATATCGCTAGCATTTGAAATGAACACCCCACAAACTTAATGAGCTAGGTGATATCATTATCCCCATTTTACAGATGAGGAAACCGAGATACAAATTTAAGTAATTTGCATAAACAGTAGTGCTGGTGTGTTTGCAGGGCTGAGATTAAATCCAGTCTGTTTGCTTCCAGACTCCAAGATCTTAATCTACGTACAGCAGTTTGCCTCACAGTGGGAAGTAGTTCTTTCTAGTACATTTACTGAATGCATTTCATTTTTGAAAAGTAGAAATTAATTACGTGCTCCATCAGCTAAAGGAAGGAGATCAATTTATTTAAAAATGGAATAACTTAGATTGAAAAATTCAGCCAAAAGAAATAAGAGTTTTGTATTGTAGGATGACATTCAAGGTCTACAGCAGGTTTTACATTATGTTCATGTCTTTTTATCATTATAGCATTCTTTTTTCAGATTTTGAAATTTTTATGTTGCACATATTAGAGTTATTTCAAAGTTAGTGAGAATTGTCAGATGTAGTGATAAGAAAAAAAATTTCCCCTTCGATGTTTCTCCCGTGCCATTCTAATAAAAGCCCTTCTCAACACCATCAAAAATGAAATGTCCCTATTCTGGCTCAATAATAAATAAAGGGCAATTAAAAGAAGTGATTCTAGACAGTTTCTTGAGATAAAATACTTCAAATAAAATAAGATACCCTTGAAAGGAAAATTTAATAATAAAATACAGCAATCCTGACTGATCCCTTTCCAGGGAAATCATGTATTATTCAGCAACAACCACCTCCAGAAGTGGTGCTGTCCTCATCCAACCTACAGTGTCCGGTGGACCTCGATTCTGGAGCAACCGGCAGAATCACTTGTCCCAAGAACCTGACTGAGCAACCAGTGAAGACCTCTCTGACCCGGGGCGCCTGGGTGGCTCAGTCGGTGAAGCCTCTGCCTTCAGGGTCCTGGGCTCGAGTCCCGCATCAGGCTCCCTCCTCAGGGAGGAGTCTGCTTCTCCCTCTGCGTGCCACTCCCCCTGCTTGTGCTCTCTCTCTCTCTGACAAATAAATAAATAAAATCTTAAAAAAAAAAAAAAAAGACCTCTGTGACCAAGTATGCAGGTTGAAAGTGCATGCACAGAGAGTACCAAAGGAGGGAGGTCATAGGGTGGCCAACCCACTCGGCTAAATCCATCCTGTCCATGCTTGCCTATTGTGGCCAGAATGCCCTCACATCATGTGTCCAGTTAATGGAGTAACCTGGGACTTCATGGTGGCCGTGAACCCTATCTATGCCCTCCCCGCAGGTGCAGAGAAGTGGAGGGTTGTAAAGTTGGCTCAGTTTAACTTAGTCCACTTAAGGAAGACATGGAAAAACATGCAACAAGATATAAGGAAGCTTCTGGGACTTCTGGGAAAGTGTCTAGAAAACTTTCCATCAACTTAATAGGATCTGCAGAGAACTAGAGGGAGGAGACAGAGCACTGTGGTTTCAGGGCACAGGACTGGGGTCCAACTGCCTGACCTGGAGCCCTAACTCCACCCCGCACTGGCTGCCTTCTCTTACAACACCCGCCTGAGGCTCAGAACCTCAGCTTCCTCATCTGTAAAACAAGCTAATAAAAACCCTACTTCACAGAGGGTTGTAAGCATTAAATGAGATAACACAGGGTGTAATTTTTTTTTTTTTTTTTTAAAGTACAACTACCCTGAGTTAATCATTCAGGGCTTCTGAGAGCTAGAAGCACTTGCACAGAGAGAAGAGGAGAAAGGGACTGTTGTGCCCTTTGCTCACAGAAACATGTTCGAGAACGGAAACTGTGCTGGTTGCCAAACCGGCACCTGAGAGGGTAATGGAAATCCTTGCAAAGAAGAAAGTCAGAAAAGAGCGTTAACATGTCAAGAATTATAAACCAGTTCTCACTGACCTTCAGGTCTATGGAGCAGTGTGATAAAAACCTTTCTATGCAGCTTTACTGTGAGCCTCGTATCAGTGAAAAAAAGGCATTCATGAAACCATTTCCCCTTCTGCACGAGAACGTGACCTTCGGCGAACTGGCTGGCTCTGCTCTCCAGAAATGAAGACGGCACACATCAACTGTATTTTTAGGTAACACTGCGTGTGATTTAAAAAAGAGGCTTGACCGGTACATTGCATCTGGACTGGGAAAAGCTACAGCGACTCTTGGAAACTGGCCGTCTCTTATGGGGATCCTGGGGGATCTGCCAGAGCAGCTGGTGCAGGAGATACTGGCCCCTGTGGGACGTGAGGTGTCACAAACTGCCCCAGGTGGATCCCAGCCCCTCGCCCCTGAGCGGTGCTGTTCAGGCTTCTAGAAGGACTCCCCCTGGAGGAAATGTCTGACGCCGCCCCGCCAGCAAGCTGTGGTCCCCCTGCAGGAACGTTCATGCCAAGAGGGGGTGCTATGAGCATCCTGTGAGCTGGAATGCCTAGGTGAACTGTAGATGATCTCTTAGTGGCTGTCCCAACTTCCCAGTTCAGGCAGCCTGCTGTGTATAGCATAAACCCCTCTTCTCCTTATCGTCGTCATTGTCCTAGTCAACATGCAGAGCGCACGTGCTATGTGCCAGGCACTGTGACTGACCGCACACTCTACGGCTCATCCTCAAAATACACTGAGCTAGATACTAGAATCATCCCATTTCACAGGTGAGTGGACAGGGGCAACTTCGGGGGATACCTTGGCAGGTGGAGCAGGATATGGGAAGAAGCAGGGAAACGGCAGGCAAAGAAAGAAAAGGGAAAAATGACTGCTGAAAACAACTAAGCAAAGAGCAGGTATAATTCAACACATGTCTTTTTTTTTTTTTTTTTAAGATTTTTATTTATCCATTTGAGAGAGAGAGAGAGAGACAGTGAGAAAGGGAACAGAAGCAGGGAGAGTGGGAGAGGGAGAAGCAGGCCTCCTGCCGAGCAGGGAGCCCGATGCAGACCCTGGGATCATGACCTGAGCCGAAGGCAGACGTTTAACGACTGAGCCACCCAGGTGCCCCTCAACACATGTCTTTATGTTTATGCCTAAGACTCGCCCTCGGTAGTGAGCTGACATGCACGGCACAAATTGTCACCGAGCGAGTAGCAAAGGGAAGCTACAATCAAGCAAAGGCCAATGGCAATTACAGGAGGCCACATGGCAAAAGAGAGGCAAGCTCGTCCCACGTGGGTCAGGTTGGGGGTCAGAGAGGTTAAACAAATGACAGTGTTCACATGTGTGTCTCAGAGCAACACCAAGCACACGTTTCTGGAGCTCCACCTGCCCGAAGGGGGAAAGAAATCTTCCACTGCTTCATTCGAAAATTTAAAGAACAGAGGTATATGTGCACGCAAACATTTCTGCCCATACGTATGTGGACATGTGCGTGCAGAGACACATTCACACCCATCTATCTGCACAGGTGTGTACATGTGTGTATATTTCATTGTGTGTGTCTTAGAAGATTGCATTTCCCCACATCAGAGCCACACATTCACGGAGCCAGGCAAAGACAAAGACGAAGCAGAGGACATTCTTACTTACTGTGTCCCACATCACGATGTATACATCTGTGCCGAATGAATTATTAACGTGCTGAGTAATATAAAGATTGATAAAGTCACAGAAGTGGTGATACATGTTAACACCTGGTATTGGAAAAAAGAAATCTACGTTAATTAACCCCAGAGAGCAAAGGATTCAGCAATTTTTATTCTACCCCACCTATTTATAGTGTGATAGACTTTTAGCTGAAAATAATTGGGAGAAAAAAAAAATAAGAGTTTTCTCCAAACACAAAAGGATCTGTACTCAGGTAGTCCTCAATTAACAGATGACTGGGTTCAAAAATTCACTTTAAAATTGCCTATTTAGAAATCAGGAATGCATTATCCCATATACACTAAATAACAAATAATCAGTAAATTCCAAGAAAAAAATATTAGAAGTCTATTTAGCTCAAAATGGGGTAGAACTATAAGGCCATGAAGACTAAGTTTATTTTTTATGATCACTTACTTTTAAAAATCAATTAAGCAATATCTATTTATCACAGAAGTATCAACAATGATGGCACTATTAATATTTTGGTATTTTTTATTTGTCTTTTTTTTTCCTTTTTCATCGTGGTTTATAGCATTGCTTCTTGGGAAAATATTAACCAACTATCATTTAAAAGGGCTCAGTGTCTCATGTTCTCATTGAAAGAGGATGAACTTTGGAATCAGAAAAACCAGGCTGAATACAGCTCAGCCATTCATGAGCAACATTCTCAGATGAGCTGGTAACGTTCCTAAACTTTAGCTTCTCTATGAGAAACAGGAAATCCTTATACTTAGGTGGCAGCTTTGTTAGGAGACACCCAAAGATCTTGTACCTCAAAGCACCCAGCCCCACACATGGCACACAGTGAAATTGTAATGAAGACTACCTGGGTCCTGCTGGGTCAAATAGGGGAAGGGGGGTGTGGGTGCAGCTATTTCTAAGGTGGTAAGTCCATCATTCCAAAGAAACCGAACATGCGCTCTTTCAACATAGGTACCCAGGCCCCAGTATCCAACCTGTCAATATGCAAATCTAAACGGCATGAAATTCCAAGAAGTGACATGTGACACATGCACTTTAAAAGGACAGAAAATGTTGACTGAACAAAAAAGTGACTATTTCAAAAGCAGAAATCACAACACATCATGACTTCACTCCCACAGTGAATAATAACGTTGTGTGCCCAAAAATAAGAGTAAAAAATCTTCAGTTTATGTCAGCCAGGTCATTATGCTGTATACCCTCAAGTTATACAGGGCTGCAGGTCAATTACATCTCAATGGAACAGAAAGAAAAAAGAGAAAATCGTTTTTAGAGAGGAATATTTGGAGACAACTCCTTTCATCCTTCAGAACCATTTGGCAAAGAGCATATTTTCAAATTAATGAGAAAAACACAGTTCTGTGACAACACATCCTTCTTCCCAGGTGAGCACAGAGCACACATGAACTCCCTCGTGGGTTATCCAGCAAGTTCATAACATGGACTGGGGAAGGCAGCCCAGACCTGCGCTCGGTGGTGCAAGGAGGGAGAAAACACAGGTTCCATGCTCCAGAAATGTGCCCCCAAGTGAGTCGTGTTCTATAAAACGCTCATTCTCTCTCGGTGAAGAGTCGATGTGGAAAGGGAAATGGGATGAGGGCGAAAGAAGAAAAAAGGAGAGTTTCGAATATAGGAAAGAAAGCGCCCGGGTCTACACTGGCCTATTATTCTCACTTTACACACTTTACTGCCTGCATACCAGCATCCATTTAAGAGCTCACAGACATCTACCTGAATAGATGCTTGGCCCCTTTTCAGTCTGCGTATTTGAAAAATAGGCATGCAGCATTCTTACTCGCTCATATTTCAAAAACCTCCACTTGTCTGGTTTCTGGACCTCATGCGTTGTTACATAAGAATTGCAGCTTCAGGAAGCAGAGCACATTAAAAATATAATCAATACATGACAGTGATTCTGAACTATTCATGACAGAGGGCTCTCTATATTCCGGGAGGCCCGGCGGGGGGTGCACGTGGACGTGGCCAAGTAAGCTTCAGCTCTCAAGAGGAGACATGGAACCTACACGGCAACTGGCTCACCAAGTTTAAGCTGTGCTTGCGAGTTGAGAGTCACAAGCTCTAAGTGTAAATGGGAAAATAATTCTAAATTTAACTTTTCTTTCATCCTCCCCGCCCCCGCCAAGAATATAGGGCCCTGCTGACTTCCAGAGGAATTTTAAGTTCACTTCAGTCACAGAACCGATGTCAGGATATTTGCCAGAAGAACTCAGTGGGCATTCCTTTCCACCCACAGTACACACACGGTTTTTACTTTTAAATTTTTTCTAGCGAAGCACAACACAAAAATCAAGTGATTTTAGAGAAACCGGGTGGGGTCAATTTAGTTACAGAAGGTGCCCATATATAGCTTTTTCTCTCATCTTTTGATTCTGAGTGAGTCATTTGATACAAATGTGCAGGTTCCCTCTAAAATACCAAAGGTTTCATATCGTGGGAAGTTCAAGCTAGCTCACATCTTCAGAGAAGAAAGCAAAACTCAAACCCACCACTTCATGTCACACAGCCTGCCAGAAAGTCACAGGAAATCACTACATACACATATCAAAAATGGAACAAAGCCTCATTCACCAGTAACTAAGTATCGGACAAATTTAACTTCCCACCTGCATCCAGTTTCATGAAGTAGGTTGGTTTTTCAATAACAACGTCACATTTAGCATCTTCTAGAGGTCTGAAGTTGAGCTGAGTATAGCTTTGCAGCTCAGCAAACCTGCAATAATGAATTGGAAGATGGTTTCAAGGGTCCTCCTGAACTTTTGACAGCAACACTGTAACTTAGGATCTGCTTAATACAGGGATTTTCTTTCTGGAATATGATCTTATGAAGACGTGTGGAACTTCTCAAACATACTAACATTTCTATAACTTGATACCAAATTTTAATGCTGAGACAAGGAACAAAAATGACTTCAAATTTCAGCCTCATGTACAAGATAACTGGGAATTTTCTAGACAAAGAAGAAATTTACACATAGAATTGGCTAAATAATCTACCAGTAAAGTGGGAAGATTCAAGAAGGCTTCCTGGGGTCTTGTGATAGACTTCTTGGATGCTGAGACAGATGACATTCCAAAAATTATTGAGTGCCCTGGAAAGACAGCACACAGCTAAGCTTCCCAGAAGAAAGTGAAGTCTTTTTCTCAGAAAATGTCTTTGGAGACCACATGGCAGTTTTCTTCCATATAAAAGAAGACAATCACAAGCATGTGCCAAGAGATATTTAGAGTTAACCTAAAGACTCTTTGTAACCCTTCACCTTTGAGACCACAACTGATGTAAAACAAATATCAAACAAATCCTTTTAAAATATACACAATGCTGAATTACTGTGGTGGTTTCAAAATAATGTCCACAAATTCTTTGATACTTCTCCCTTCAAGAGGTAGAGATTAATTCCCTCCCCTTAAGGGTGGACTGGACTTAGTGATTTACTTCTAATGAACAGAATATGGCAGACACGATGGTGTGTGACGTCTGAGATTAGGGCATACGAAGACTGAAGCCTCCATCCTAGGGTACATGCTTGGTCTCTTGCATGCATGCTTGTGCGCTCTCTCTCATGCTCTCTCTCTTCTCTCTCTCTCTCTCTTAGGGAAGCCATGCTGTAAGGAGCACTAATGGAGAAGCCCATGTGGCAAAAAGATGATACCTCTAGCTAACAGCCAGAGACAAACTGAGTGAGCCTAGAAGCAGAATCTCCAGGCCGGGTTGAGTCTAGAGATGGCTACAGCCTTGTCAATAGCTGCTCCTGAGCCAGAAACACTCAGCTACGCTCCTCCAAATCCTGACCATCAGAAACTTCGTGAGCTAATGAAGTGTGTTGTCTTAGGCTGTTAAATTTTGGAGTAATTTGTTATCAAACAGATAATGAAAAAAATCTACCCTAGGTTATATTTTGGAGTAATTTGTTACATGGCAATAAATAACTAATATATATACACCTTAGAGAACTTCCACCATGTGGAATCAGTTATCAAAATGTACTAGGAATCAAGAGGTCCACTAGAATGGAAGAACTCCTACTGTAGAACTCTATTAAGTGTTAAAAAGAAACAACAGGCCCAGAAGGGAGGCACGTCACCAAACCAAGGCTTAATGCCTAACCTAATTACAGTTTCAACCTTCTCTAGGAATGTAGTCTTAACCAGGCAGTCTATAATTTTCTGGTCAGCACCAACGAGGTCATCGACCACACAGACCCTCCCTATCCCCCATTGGAAGATGAGGTGATCTCCTTTCCTTGTCCCTGCCCCCTTCTGCCAAGAAAAGCCTTCCATTTTGTACAGATCCTTGGAGCTCCTCTCTGTTTGCTAGATGGGATGCTGCCCAATTTGTGAATTGTTGAATAGAGCCAGCTAGGTCTTCAAAGTTACTCAGCTGAATTTTGATTTTTTAACATAAGTTAGGGAAGATGTTACAGTGTAGACTGTCAAATGCCGTACAAATGTATGGTAGAATATTATCCCGAAGGATATGCATAGCATGAATGTTTGCTCAACAATTAACATTAAGTAAGAGTATCCTATGTGACCTGTGATATTGTCATTTATAATAAGATATATACATATTCAGTCTTCTTTCCCATTTCCCCACACAGAGTTCCTGAAAGCCTTGGAATTTCCAAGTGATAAGAGTCAGAAAGGTGTCTTTTGTTATGCTAACGAGGTACTTTTGACCTCCCTAAGACTGGGGGCTGGTTGCCAGGAGAACTAATCACGTGATTAGAGGGTTGGCGTTTTCAGTCCCATCCCCCACCTTAGGGGAATAAAAAGGGGCTGGAGTTTGAATCAATTGCCAATGTCCAATAATTTAATCAATCGCCTATGTAATGAAGCCTCCATAAAAACCGAAGAGGAGAGGGCTCAGAGGCCTTCTGAGTTGGAGAAGACATGGAGATACAGGGACAGTCGGGTGCCGGGAGAGGGCATGGAAGCTCTGCACCCCTTTCCTGAACCTTGTGCTAGGCATCTCTTCCATCTGGCTGTTCCTGAGCTGTATCCTTCTATAATACAATATTCTATGATATAATAATATAACTGGTAGACTCATAAGTAAAATGCATCTCAAAGTTATTTGAGCCGCTCTAGCAAATGAATCTAACCCAATCTACAGCAGATCGGTCAGAAGCCCAGGTGATCACCTAGGCTTGCAACTGGGGTCTAAATTCTGGGACTGAGCCCTTAACCTGTGGGATCTGATGCTGTTTCCAGGTAGACGGTGTCAGAATTGAGTTAAACTGTAAGACATCTAGCTGTTGGAGAATCGCCTGGTCGTGTGTGGAAAACCTGACACACAGGTTGGAATTGAGTGCTCAGCTTCGAATAAAGGGGCAGCATGAGAGCTTCTTTGGGATGACAGAACAGTTCTGTATTCTGATTGTGGTAGTAGTTCATGCATGTGGACATGTGATATAAATTTCATAGAACTATGTATCCAAGATAAAAAAAAAATAGAAAAGAGTGCATATAAACACTGGGAAAATTCAAATGTGTTTAGTTAATAATATTGTACCAATGTCAATTTCCTGGTTTTGACCATTGTGCTATGGTTACGTAAGCTGTCATCATTAGAGGAAGCTGGGGGAAAGGTACAAGGGGAACTCTTTGTATTATTTTTAAACTTCTGTAAGCCTAAAATTATTTTAAAATCAAGTTTTTTAAAGTACCCTAATTTCCTAATTTCTAGAGATAACAAATCAGACCACAGAGCTAATTTATTATTAAAAATGTTTTAAGGGCGCCTGGGTGGCTCGGATGGTTGGGCGTCCGCCTTCAGCTCAGGTCATCATCCCAGCTTCCTGGGATCAAGCCCTGCATCGGGCTCCCTGCTCGGCGGGGAGCCTGCTTCTCCCTCTCTCACTCCCCCTGCTTGTGTTCCTGCTCTCGCTGTCTCTCTCTGTCAAATAAATAAAATCTTAAAAAAAAAAAAAAATGTTTTAAATCAAAATGTGTTCTCCAATTTATATAAAGTTCAAAAAGGTGATCAGAGGTGTTGGAAGTCAGGGTAGGGTTTACAACTTTGAAGAGGAGCCTGGGGTGCTGGTTGGAGCCCAACGCGAGGCTGGATCCCAGGACCCTGAGGTCATGACCTGAGCCGAAGGCAGACGCTTAACCGACTGAGCCACACAGGCACCCCTAAATGTCTATCCCTTTTAAACATGTGTTTCTCAAACACATGTACAGTTACAAGGAGTTAATAAAAATTCATTTTTGAACAGATTTTTTTCTTTCATTAGCAATCAGTAAATCCTATATCATACTTCCTCATATTTTATAAACATATATTTAATCCAAATACTACTGATAGATTCACTCTGTAGCCATCACTCCCTCGAAGCTCATGCCAAATTCTCCACAAATGAAGTAACACTTCCCATTCGAAAGTCCCTTCCAATGTGCCAGAAACAAAAGCAAATATTTTAGAAACATATTTTTAAAAAAATAATCTTACCAAGACTGCAGAGGGCTTTTGCGCTGACCTTGAGACATCAATGTCCGAGTGTCCAGTGTGCAGTGTCCTCCGATTTCACCACTCTGGAGAAAATCTTCCTTAAATCTGGTGGATGACCAAAAATTAAGCTGAGTTTGAAAAATTTTATCACTACATAAGCACATGGGATGTAACTAAGGTGGTTTACCACTTTCCAAAATCAGTGTGTTGGTAGAATTTCACTCTATTATAAGAGAATGTTTCAAATATACACAAAAGTAGCAGAGTGGGACAGAAACCCGATGGACCCATAATCCAGCTTTTCAATGATTAACCTGTGGCCTGACTACGTCTTCCATGCTCCACCCATTTCCCAACCTCATCGCCATATTATTATGAAGCAAACTCAAGGCATATCCCTGGACCTGGAAATATTTCAGAATCTCCATTAGGTTTTAACATCAACCACTTCCGTACCTGTCATGGTTTCTCTTGATGTTTCTTAAATCAAGATAGAGATTGGATGCTCTGCAGTACTGAAGATAACGGGAACACACCAGGCTTGAGTCATGCTGAATTGAGTTTGAGAAAAAAGAAAAAATTAACTCCAGGTACTAACATTTTGAGGACATTCTCAGACTTGCCAGACAAGTTCACAGCATGTGCACCTTCAGGTTGAAACCACACAATATGAGGAGAACAGCTTCTTTTTTAAAACATTTTTATTTAAATTTAATTAATTAACATACAGTGTATTATTAGTTTCAGAGGTAGAGTTCAGTGATTCATCAGGAGAATAGCTTCTGAAAGCCTGCTTCTGTAGATGGATTTTTCCCCTCCCCAGCAGACTCTGGTGAAGTCTAATTTTGCCAGTGCACATGAATACTTTCAGGTTACTACAAAGAACTCCCAAATGTTCTATTTATATCATCTCAAACTTTACGGCTTTATGTGTGGTTCAGTTCAGTCCTCTTAAAAAAAAAAAAAAAAAAAGCACTTAGAGCCATCACTAACCCCGTAGCTATGCGGAAAAAGCATTTTTCAAAGCCAAGCCAAATGAAACAAAGAAGAATGAATGCACACGTTAAGAGACATTAAAACGAAAGCTGGAAGGGCACTTTGCTAATTTTAATAAGACATGCTTTCTACAAACCATAAAGCCTCTGGGAGTCCCTGTCTCAACAGCAGTAAGAGGGCAATGTTTTTTAAATCACTGAAATAAAAGAGCTTAAGAGTCAACTACCAGAGCCCGCTTCTCTTTTTTCCAGTCTGGTTTGTTCAGAAATAGGGATGGTTTCAAAAACTTTTATCCACTCTGGATTTTATTTATAGATTTAAATGCCATTTTATTGTTTTCCCATAATTCCCAATGAACACAAGGCCTTCACCTTAACCCATATGGGGTTTTGGAATCGGTAGTTGGTAAGGGATCAGGCTCTGATTGCACAAAATCTATTAAGGTAGATCTTGGCCAGGGAAGATTCTACATACTGCCTTGGACGAGGTGTGTGGGGTGGGGTTGTGGCTCTCCCCTTGCCCCTTCCACATGAACAGGTGGACTCCAGCCAGACTATGCGACACACACAAAAAAGTGTATGTTAAGGGTACCCAGCAGCAGTGTGGCTAAAGCCCGGCCTCCCTCCGTTGGGGTTCATCCGTCTCCCCACAATTGCTTCAAGTTCTATTACATGATATCTCCAAAAGCACTATAGAGTGGGCGCCTGGTGGCTCAGTCGGTTAAGTATCTGCCTCAGGTCATGATCACAGGGTCCTGGGATCCAGGCTGGCATCAGCCTCCCTGCTCAGTGGGGAGCCTGCTTCTCTCTCTGCCCTCCCCCTCATTCTCTCTCTTTCTCTCTCTCTCGCAAAAATAAAATAAATAAAAATACTTTTAAAAAAGCGCTATAGAGCATATATTCAGTTTCTTAATGAAAGTGAATTAAGAAAAAAAATTGTTTTTAATTTTCTAGATTGCCTGGAGATAATAAAGACCCCTGAGATGTTCAAGAACACTGACAGATACGAGACCTTAATAGTAAGTGCTTACACCCCCATGGACCTTTAAAAACTAACACTGAGCCCTTTGCTGGGAGCCCAGTCCCGCACTGAGCACTTTTTTTTTTTTAAGATTTTATTTATTTATTTGACACAAAGAGAGAGACAGCAAGAGAGGGAACACAAGCAGGGGGAGAGTGGGAGAGGGAGAAGCAGGCCTCCCGCTGAGCAGGGAGCCCGACGTGGGGCTAGATCCCAGGACCCTGGGATCATGATCTGAGCCGAAGGCAGACGCGCTTAACAACTGAGCCACCCAGGCGCCCCGCACTGAGCATTTTTATAAGCAGAATGAGCATTTTTATAAGCTCATTTCTTCCCAACCACAAGCTATGACATGCGCATAGCTTGAAAGGAAAAGAAACTGAAACATGGAAAGGTTGAGTACTCTAAGAATCAGGTTTTGAACCCTACAGTATGGAGGGAGCCTGCTTTTCTCCTGACTACCCAAAACTGGCTCTTGGCAACGTGCTTGGCTGACCCACTGAGCACAATGCACTATGGTTGAAAGCACACAGAAGAAGATCTGTATCTCAATTCTAGATGGATGAGTCTACCTAGGAGCTGTGTGCTCCTGGAGAAGTCACTTCACCCTTCAGAGGACCCTGTTTTCCTCTGTGGTCAAGTAGCATCAGTTAATACCTACCCTGTCTATCTTGCTGCAGGGCTAGCTAACATAGAGAAAACCTTTTTGCAAACTGTAAAGTCCTAAACAAACATAGAGCGGTCTGGCGGGGGGCGGGGGGGCGTGTATCCTCTGTCCCGAACTCCTTGTGAGGGAATTCAGAAAGATGCAGTTTATCAACTTATCTTCTTTAGCATAATGCTGGGGGCGGGGAAATTCTAAACCTAGTAATATTTTAACTGCCTCAAAATAGGACCATCTGATATATGTGTGAAAATGACGACAGGGCTTCCAAACGAAACAGAATGACTTGTTCTAGGAAGTTAAATAAAAGTCACAGCCAATAAACACGTGAGTAAGGATTCCTCTCCTGGAGCCATCTATCTTGTTTTTACAGGACAATCTAAACACTAGGAGTATCTGAAAAGAAACACTCACCGTTTCCTTAGGCTGGCAGAGCACATGCAGTTCCTCCAGACGCTCTCCCGCATATCCAAAGTCAGCTTGTTTCCAGAATATGTCCTGGGCGGATTCAAGGGTATCTGTCCTATTTGCAGTCAAAAAGATTCCATTAAAAAAAAGAGTGGGGGGGGCACCTGGGTGGCTCAGTCGTTAAGCGTCTGCGTTCGGCTCAGGTCATGATCCCAGAGTCCTGTGATGGAGCCCCACATCGGGCTCCCTGCTCAGTGGGAAGCCTGCTTCTCCCTCTCCCACTCCCCTTGCTTATGTTCCCTCTCTCCCTGTGTCTCTCTCTGTCAAATAAATAAAATCTTTCAAAAAAAAAAAAAAGATTCCATGATTTTTCTCTTTTGCCTTTTCTGAGCCTTGAGTTTCCCTTCTAAAGGTTAAATTGCCAGAAGTCTGTCATTAAGTTTTTTAACCATCATAATCTTCCTGCAACTCCCTTGCTACAAGGAGATACCAAAATAAGTTATTCACAGACTTTCTTTCTTTCTTATACTAAGAATATACAACAGAAATGTATGAAGTTAGGGTCATCTGGAACTGAAGAAAATGAGAGAAAACGAGCTACTAATTACCATATTTTCTTTACTCCACTAACCTTGCATGTCTTGTATTAGAAATACTAATTATACTTCACACTCCCCTCCGGAATCAAGAGGAAACCATCGAGTTATCTTTTTAGTGTTTGTTGGAGGGAAAAACTTTCTGGTGATCCATACTGCTTTCTCTCTCTGGCAGAGGAAAGAACTGATATTCCTGTACATGGCGGCAGGAGGGTGGGGAGGTAAGTCAACTTGAATCCATGACTGTGTAAGCAAATTAATATCTAAAGGAATTACTATCTAAAACCAAAAGAATCCAGGTGGGTGGTGGACCATCAGCATACAGTACAAAGAAAGATGATTTAAAGGGGAGGAGGATTCTGTCTAGAAGCTTACCATCCCATGTCGACGTAGGTGCAGACAGGGTAACCAAATCTGAACTCTGGTTTGCAGGATTTCTCATAACCCCAGCAGTATTTTAGATTCTCTAAGTGTTTCTAGAACATAAAACGTGTACGTTTACACTGGTCTCCCTCCTTCTGACATTTAGAGAGGACTCTTCAGATTCTCCCATGAAGAAAACAAATCTTCATAGAACTTCCACTTTCACATCTTATAATACATATTCATATAATAAAAGGAATTAGAATAAATCCTAAGAGTAACAGTCTCCAAGTTCTCAACCACAATGATCCTTAATCATCACTCCCCCACCACCACGTCTGGGCCCCAACCAAAAGCACAGCCTTTCCCTACACTACCAAAGAACACTGGGACTGGAATTTCCTGAAGGAGCTTAATGAAGCTGCCTTTCTCAGTAAGCAAAGTGATTCTAAAATCAATCCCTAAAGAGTCACATAAAATGAAATTTCTATGACCAAAAGAATCACAGCAAAATTAAATGGATTAGCGTCTTTACTCATTAATCAAGAGCAGTAAGAAACGTCACAAGACTGGACACAGCAGCAGCTGTTGGCTGAGGTCGCTCTTCTGCAAGGCCCAGGAGCAACACTGGTCTGATTCCCAGGTCTGCTTCTCCATATGCTTCCTGAGCCAGCACCATAGGAAAGGAAGTTTCTCACAAGGTCCAGCTTTGATCTCTGAGACCTCCTGAGACATCTTAATGGGCTCCAATTGGAGGCCTTTCCAACAACTCTAAAACAGAAGGATGGCCATAGTAACAGTCATAATTATGTGGAGACAGGGGCGGAGGTGTTATTACTGAAATTAAATGCTAAGTGACCCTCTGAAGGGCGATTAAAGAAAAAAAGAGGTGTGAAATTCTCTAGTGACTTTTAATTATACATTCTTGTCTAGATAAAATCTAATTCCCTTTGTTTACAGAATATACAAATAGTATTGACTATTTATTTTATGAGTGATTGAGATTTTAAATTTTAGTTGCGATTCAGATTTTAAATCCCACTCTTGTGAATGGGATATAATCTTAAGCAAAGTTTAGGCATTTAGAAGCACTAGACGAAATGCAAACAAAGTCTGACAGCTACCTTACAGAATGCTACCTTCAAGATCAGGTGATAAAGCAGAACCAAATCCTTTTAAAAATAAATAAGAGAGGGGCGCCTGGGTGGCTCAGTCGTTAAGCTCAGGTCATGATCCCAGGGTCGAGCCCCACACCCTGCTCGGCGGGAAGCCTGCTTCTCCCTCTCCCACTCCCCCTGCTTGTGTTCCCTCTCTCCCTGTGTCTCTCTCTGTCAAATAAATAAATAAAATCTTTAAAAATAAATAAATAAATAAGAGAAGAAAAACGAATACCTACCTTATAAGGACAATGTGAGTCTTTCTTACAGACCGTGGCGATATGCCTGTTATTGTGCAAAAAGAAGGGAATGTGCTCCTTGGGCAAGCGGATACTGGCATAGTTAAACAGAGGTTCGCCTGGAATGCCATCAGCCTTGGGAGAAGCCTCATCTTGGCAACTCAGTGAAACACCATGAAGCAATACTCCAAGGACAAGCAGCTTTAACATAGCAACCTCCAAACCTAGAGATCATATTGAAAAGGTTTTTGTTGAGACATATCTTTTAAAAGTCAAAGGGATCGAGGGCTCAGTATAATGACACGGAACCTTGTTACATCACTGAATAACGCTCCTTTGTTCAACGAATATTTATTGTGCACCTGCTCTGCTCCAGGCCCTGCATTAGGAGCTAGGTACACAGGGGTGAACAAAACCAGGCCCTTGTTCTGACAGAGCTTATAACCTTTCTCAAACTTTCTCAGTCAAGAGCCAGGTAGTGAATATTTTTGTTTTTGGAGGCCATACAATCTCAGCGGGAACTACGCAACAGTACTTTTGCCATGAAAAGAGCCACAGCCTATCCTAAAGAATGGGGGTGGTTGTGTTCTAATAAAACTTTATTTATAAAAATGGGGCAAAGGCCTTGATGTGACCCCAGTCACATATTACTGATGCCAGAAATAAAGTAGATAATTGATAGGCAATATAACATGGTGGTTCAGAACATGAACTCAGAAGCTAGACCACCTGGGTTTGAAATCCAGCTAGTTTCCTAGCTGTATGATCTTGAGCTATTTAACCTCACTGTGCTTCAGCTTTTCTATCTGTAAAATGGAAATAATAATAAACCTTTGTCATAGGGCTATTGTGACTTAAATACTGGTAAAATATTTTGACGTACCTGGCACATTAAATGCTATACAAGCATTTATTGAGTAAATGTTTAAAGCCATGTGGAATGGTGGGGTAAGGAAGAGGTTGCTAAATATTATTTGAGCTGAGACCTGAATGATGAGGAGCAGGGAAATCATGCCAGGGAGAGAGAAGAAAAGAAAGTGCAATAGCTCTGAGCATATATGTATCTGCTGAATAAAAACTAATAATCATGGGGCGCCTGGGGGGCTCAGTCAGTTAAGCGTCTGAATCTTGATTTCAGCTCAGGTCTTGATCTCAGGGTCATGAGTTCAAGCCCCGAGTTGGGCTCCATGAGCCTACTAAAAAACAAACAAACAAACCCTAATAATCACAATCCTATATGGGTTCGTTCTATGTGCCAAGTACCTAGGATGCAGCAATGAACATGCAGTCTAAAACTCTTTACCCTTGTGAAGCTCACCTTCTAGTGGGTGTAATAACAATCTATGATAATAGTAACTACAACTCCGAAAACTCGGAGACTGTGCCATTAATCTATCCCCATCTTGCCTTAGCAATGTGAGAAGAGAATAACCATCATGGACCTTACTGCATGTCTAACTCACCCCATAAGGATTAAATCTCATGGACTAGAATTCTATGTAACCCAGACAATAATTGTGCCATTCTTGCTTAACTTTAGTGAAATATTTTGCTCTATGAAAAAAAAAAACGATGCTCTTCCCACCAAATGATAGGACCATATTACACATGAGCTACTCCCCAGTGAGATCTACAGTCACTGGAGCATGTTGGAAAAACCAGCTTTCAGAATCAGCCTTCACTGACTATGCCTAACAAAGATGGGGCCTTTAGAAACAAACTGCTATGTGAGTCCAGCCTAAAGTCCCAAGGCCAAGGCTTCATAATAAAGAGTGTGGACACTGAAAAGGGATCTTTTTCCCCTCTGGAGTGGTAAATATAGTCGCTTCTCTCTTTCGTGGCTCTGAAGAGTATATTGTTACCTGTTGGAAAGGTGATCTGAATTAATACTTTTAGTTAGGACTTTCATCCAACAGTGAGTTGACAGTGATTTTAGAAAAGTTAAAAATACATATTAATAGTAACAGTGTACTTCTAATGGAATTATTTACCTCTTTAATTATCAGAACCATGCAGCTGTTGTGATGCTTCAGAGATCAGAAATCTGTCAGAAATGAAACATATTACCTTAAAAGGATGCCAAAGTAGACTTTATCATTCAGGTGATATTTTGGATTAAAGGAAATATGAAGAGAGAAAAAAAATTAATGAGCTAACCTCTAAGCACAAGGCCTGGCTCTTAGCGAGACATTGTGTAAGCAAAAGGCCTGACTCATAGTGTGCTTTCCTTTCCTTAGTGAACACTAGACTGCAAAAAGCAAAATTATAGGTACCACTCTCAACACTGTCACTTAAACTATATTCTAATGGTACGCAGAAGGATATGGTCCACTTTATACAGGCATCAACTGGTACAGGCCAAAGGGACACTCTGCGGGTAAAACATTCCTAGAGGAAACAATGTTCCTGGTTCTCATCCTATTAATCCTACTCACTGAATCATACTGCTACTTGAGCTTTCCTATTTACTACTTACTCCACCCTGACCATTCAACAGGCAGGATGGCCTATTTTTCTGATTCATTCTTTCCAGTAATAAAGTCATGTTATAACTAAGTCCTGACCTTCAGTTCTTCAAGTCCACTGTCCTTGACTGAGCTCTGGCTAAAACTAAACCCACTGATCCACGGAGAAGGAGTCACACTTAAGTCATGGGAAAAATCTGAAGTCTCGGCTCAAAGGGCACGTACCTACTTGCATAAACTAGAAGGGGTGGCTGCTAGAGCATGGAAAGCGCAGCCCCGGGGCCTGGCAGAAAGCCGTTCTGGTGCGCAGTCCTCTTGCAAGGCCCCCCAAGGATGGGTGAGTGCACTTCTCCAGCAGATGGAAGCTGGAGCGCCGCGCTACTTTTCCTTCAGTACAAAGCAACCGGCGCCTTCCTCTTCTGTATTCCTTCACCGGATTTCCTCGGGCCTAAAAGGTGGAGGAGGGAAAAAAAAGGAAGAGCCTGAAAGATGATGAGAGACTAGAGAGCCTGAGGCGGACAGGGACCACAGTGGGTGAGATGGGGCGGTGCTCCGTGACAGAGCTCGGGAAGTTACAAGAAGACAGTGGACAAATAAAAAGTTGAACGCGTCTGAGACTCACAAGGACTCCTAAACGGCTCGCCCGCACTGGGGCCACGGGTCTCACGGGCGGTAGAGGCAGGGGGTCAGAAAGGGCCTGGCTGCCTGAGATGCCGAGGGGAGGTCCACCAGCTGTGTGCCGGAACGTCAGCCCGGGAAGCGGGGCGGGCGGGGGCGGCGGCCACAGCGCTTCCGCAGCCACCCTGCCGCGCTCGGGTTCTTCACCCCCGGCGCCGGCGGGGCTGCCTCGGGGTCGCCAGGTCCCCGCACGTCGCCCGCCACCCTGCACTACACCCCCCCCCACCTCCACCCAGTCCCCGGAGCCTGGGAAGGACCCGGGGGAGCGGCTTCGCCCAGGTCTGACACACCGACCCACGCGGCGCGGGAGGAGGAGAAGGGCATCCTTCGCAGTGGTCGGCGGGCTCCCGGGAGCCCCGCGCGCGCCACTGCACGCTCCGTGAAGGGGGCGAGCGCCCGCCTCCCCCGCCCGCAGGCGGTGGAAGGCGCGGGCGGAGTCCGCAGAGAGGCTGCAGCCCGCGGGGAAGGCGCGCGGGG